CCATAAGCTCTACTGTTCAACTTCCTCCAAACCTTGTCCTCCATGTCAGCGGGTTTCTCTTTTAACTCAAGAGTCTCCTCCAAATTCTGTGCATCCAAGATGTCCATTACTTGACACCTCCACAATCCAAAATTGATATTGCCGTCGAACTTCGGAACATCAATCTTTGTGTTATTAATGCTTAGACTCTGTATCGCCTTCGTAAGAGACGAACCTGATGTGCTTGCTTCTCCCATATTGTCGATCTAGCTCTGATACCAATTGTTGTGCGCGGCGGAAGCAGAATGAAGCATAGTAAAACTGAGGTAATTGACGTGGTGGGTAGTTTGAATATTTCTGTACTTGAATATTTCTCTTCAGTACATGTTTTGGATTAAACATTTGTGGAGGTTGTGATGTTCTGTTTGTTTTCTTTTTTGTGAGGTGGAAGAGTGTATAGTTGATGATGGAAATATATATGAATGGTTTCTAAGTGTTTTTGTTAGAAAAAATAATGAAGGAAAGAGAATTTATGAGGCATGAAACACTTTCCTAAAAGAAATATTTGCCCTCACTTCAAAATCGAAGTTGTTTCAGGTCAATGCAAATTTTCTTCCTAGGATACAACAGAAAATTAAAAGTTCCAGCAAGCAAATCTGAAATTTCCTACCAATTCTCTGTGAAATGAGTTTATAAGATTGCAGATTTTTTGAAAGAAATTTTTTGAGAAAGAAGTAAGTTTAGATGTCTGAAATCATAGATTATTTATAGGTTTGGAAAAGTGTTTTCAACAGTCACAACTTTTCAAAACACCCTTTGGAAAAAACCAATCGTCAAAAACATCCATTTTCAATGGTCTAATTCTAACAGTCACTTATATGTTGATATTTTGAAGTGCTAATCACGCTACCCCAACGCGGGCTTAGAAGTCAATGTTTTGACCTATTTATCAAAGTCTAATAATCATAAAATGTTTCCAAACCTCTAAAAAAATGCTCAAATATCCAATATGAGACTATTTTATTTTTACAAACAAATACTAATAGTTTTGAGAGTTTATCAGGGTTTGTATTGGCTCCGGGTATGCCTGGGTTGGATTTTGTACCAAATGCTTCACTTGGTAATGATAAAATTTTTCATTTACCAAAAAATATAAAAAATAAGAGAAGTTGCACTTGCTGAGCTATATCGGACAAACAAAGTACTGAGAATTTTTTTTCTACAAACGCTAAAACGTTGAAGGTAGTGCATGAATATTACCTATGATTCTTTGCACATTAATCCCCTTGACTCCGAACTTAAACCTCAAGGTCAATACCATATTTTTAGCATATCTAATAATTAATGCTCTTCATCTTATATATATCTATCCTGCATATCCTATCATAGCAATATTCAAAAGCGAAAGGTAAAAGAAGAGGACAGAGAAGGTAATATTTGCTTATTCCATTTCTTATCATCATGTTAATCTTTTTCATGATAAAGAAAAGTTATGATGTACATACATTAATTCTTGTAGACTTATAGATATATTCTCTTCATTTTTACTCTATCACTTATGATAATTAATAAATTTGTTATTTTCAAGCTTGTTACTCTGTAAGTAAAGTGAAATAAGAAATTAGAAATAGGCAAAAGTATTATGTTCACTAGTAAACTATTTAATGCTTTTTAGAGTATTTTTTTATTCACTTTGTTTTAAAAAAAGATACAGTATGGATATCGGAGCTCAAGACGAGAGCAAGTTAAAGACTACCATTTTGATGGGATCTTCCAGTAATAACAGAACGGTTGAAAGTACTGTCATTGTTGAAAAGCCCATGTCCTCGTTCATTCCCATGACAAAGTTAATAGTAATATTATCAAAGTTTCTGCATCCTAAAAAGATGCATGTGATAAAGAAAATCCACAAAGGCTACCTGGTAAGAAAATAGATCTTTAATAAATTTTTTTCATTTGCAGAACTTATTTGTTTTAAGTTTTTATTTAGTTTAAATTTTATATGTAATACAGGATAAGAAATTTACTCGTCGTGAGATGGTTAATCTTATTAGGAAAGTGGTGAGGGACGATGACTTGATAGTTAAAACTATCAAATACTTCAATAAAAAGGTACAATGGTTTTTTTTACTGTCTTTGTGAACATTTCTTAATTTGCACTATTGTTTGTAAATTCTCTAGAAGTTTCAGTCTGCAAAAGTAGTTCAAAGTTAAAACTATTATTTCTTGTGTTGACTTAGATATAGTAGTGAGAGACATTTAAACAAAAAAAATGTGATTTTAAAGTGAACTAATTCTTTTGTTTAGTAGGGATTCTCAAAGGTTGTGAGGCAGTTATCCCATTAAATGCTTCTATTATATAACAACTAGAGCATCGGAGGGCCCATTGGAGAAAGTCCCTCCTATCCTCTCATGGTGTTTTTTTTTGGAAAAATCCCGAATGATTCAAAATATGGAACCAACAGAGGGGACAGATGATGTGTCTCCCTTTTATTGCATAATGAGTGATGACCAGCTCATTATGTAATAGGAGGTGACACCTCACTTGTCCCCCCTGTTGGTCCCAGATTTTGGGTCTCTGTAACAAAACTTTTTTTGTACAAGAATTTTTGTTTGCAGTTAATCATCTATAAAGAAGATAAAGGGACCCTAAACTCCTTCAAAATCAACATTACTTTCCTAATTAACTGACTCACATCAACAGGAAATTATTTGTGTGCTGTTGTATACTTGGATGCTATCAAAGGAAAAAAAAAATTTGTTAAGCTCTTTACCGTTATAAGCCCCTTAATTTACAGTTTCCAAGTTTTCCTATCTAGAATTTTTGATTAGCTGTAACTTGCTTACCTTTGTTTTATATATAGGTGCTGTCCACTGCAGTGAAGAGGGGATCTCAGAAGTTGACCTGCAACTCTGACTAATGTGGGAGTTTGGGTCATGAGTATTAACCATTTCCATTATATGAATTCAATAAGGAAATGAAAACTTATTCTTTGTCTTCTTTATCATTGTCTGAGAGTGAACCATTGAGTGGATGTTTATGAAATTACATATTTTGAATTCAGAGTTTTCTTGAAAGGCACCTATATGTTAAATATGTATGAGAAAGCTATGTTATCCCAATTTCAATGATATTGTCCCTAGAAAAAATATTATAAATCGCCCTTATGATTATTGCAATCTCAATTATAGGCCTAGTTGGAAGAGCAAGCATAGCTACAATCAATTTAACAAGTTAAAAATGCAATGCTAAAATAAATTAATTGCAAAATAGTTCAATAAGAATAGTGATTCCTGACTTCTGAGATATTCGCCTAGATTGTTTCCCATGGCAACAACCTGAGCTCTCTCTCTACGAGAAAGCCCGCTACTTGGTTTGCTTTCCTATACATGTGCCACACAAGAGCCTGCCAATAAGGAGGGGTTATTGGTTGGGACAAGTTAAGATCAAATGTTATTATTGTTTCAATGAAACGATTTTATCTTTTTGGAGTATTTTGAGTTGGGAAAAGTGTAAAAGTTGGGATAATAAAATAATTTGATGATTTGATTTGACAATTCATGTGGAATAATTGATGATGTGACATCTTATTAAAGTATGATTTTTTTTATGAATTAAGTCAAAATTAATTTATTCGATTGGTTTAGTATATTATTTAGTATGTTATTATAATGTAATACATTATTTTATTTTATACTAAAATATAATATGTTATATTACAATTAGTTATTGATTATAACTATGTTTAGTGTTCTTAATTAATACATTATACTATATTATAATAATATGATATATGATATATTAATTGATATAATATAGGATATTATTTTATATAATATAGGAAAGTATATTTAATATAATATTATAATGTTATAATATTTAATTTAATATAAATAAAAATATTGTAAAAATTTTGTTTTATTCAATATAATATTATTTAAAGTATTATATCATAATAAAAAAATATAATATTGTATTTTATGATAATTACTATAATTTAAATGTGATAATTGATGAAATAGTTCCTTATAAAAGTATAATATTTATAATAACCGTAATATAATATTAATATGTTTAATAATATTAATTAATATATTATATTATATTTATTTTATATATGATATTATAAATATTGTCATACTTTAATACATAGTAGATTATTACTATTTTTATTGTAGCAATAAAATACTATTTAATATTATAACTGTCACAATATATTTAAATACTATTATTTAATATATAATTTAGAAAAATCATAATATTATATAAATTAAAATCTTATATAATAGAATATATTATCATATTAAATTATATTATAATATATTATTATATTAAATTTAAAGACACTAAATTATAATACAATATTTTATATCATAAAAATATGACAATAATATTTTTATTCTAAATAATAAAATATATAGTAAATAATATTAAGTAATATTATAATAATATAATACTAACACTGGGGAAAAAACAAAGCATTCTAGATGGAATTTTCTGTGTAGAATAGCCAGATTTCGGTCTAAATTGATCATCCTAGATATAATTCCGTCTAGAATGTTGGTCTAATAAGTTTCCATTGAGAATGCGTCATTCTAGATGGAATTCCGTCTAGAAAAACCATCCTAGATGGAAATGCATCCTAGATGAAACAAAATACCGTCTAGAATAGTTCTAGATAGAAAAGACAACCATCTAGGATAATCATAAATAGAAATTCCGTCTAGGATACATCATAGACGAAATTTCCGTCTAGGATGTAGTAATTTTAAAATATATATATATATATATTTATATATATATAATATTTGCTCCTATACGACCACACTAATCCACTTGATTATCAATAGTATCTACTTACAACCACCAATACAATTCTCCTCAACAATAATACAATTGTAAAACTTTATAAAAAATGAGTATATTATTGAATGTCACAAAAATTGAAAGTACAAGTATTAGTTTAATTCTCCTAACAATTAGAAAAAGGATAGCATACAATTTAATGTTTGCCAACATGGAAATAAAAATAATCAGTACAATAATAAAAATTATAAATCATTACAAAAAATGAGTACAATTGCATGACTCCTCTGCATCCCTTCTTGAGAATCTCTGCCACCAGTTGAAACTCTCTATGAGTTCGTCATACTCTCATTCTTGATTATCCAAGATGAACCCTACATAAAAGTTACACTTTGCATCATATACTATACATATCTTAAATTTTTAGTAAAGGAGAAGTTAACATATCACGGTGCCAAACAACAATTTAATTGCACAACTTCAAACCATATGACCATGTAAGAAAGAATAAAGTTGGTGCATGCATGAAGATTAAATAAATGGATTTGGTTGATGATAAATTAGTAAGCACTTCCGCCAAGTAACTTCTCATAAGGATAAAAAAAATAAACTTCACATAATAAAATATAGATACCTTAAAAGTTAATGTTTCCAAACTATAAGTGTATTATTCATAACTTCAAACCACAAGACCATGTAAAGAAAAATATAGTTATAGCATGCATGAAGTTTAATAGTCGATTCAGTTTCAAACTTGATTATAAAAAAAGGCAGAATGTATTGTTCATTAAGGAAATTCACAAGCTAATAATTAATTGATATTATTTAGCAAGAGAACAACAACAATCTGGTCTGTGTGAAGAAACATGGAACAACAAACTAACTCCTTTTTGAATAGTTGAACAGTACACTAGATTATTCAAGCATCAAGTTGATAAGTGCATGCTATATAGCTAGCAAGTGTCAGAAATATGGTAAGTGTCAGACTAAAGTATACATAAAAATTCAAAAGGGATTCAATAATTTAGAGAATTAGCTTTATTTGTATCCCGAGCCATCCCTCAAATCCATAGATATACCATTTAATGTGCGGACAGCCAACCTTAATGGACTCCCATGCTCAATACTCTCCAGGCTAACAAAGTTTTGATTCGGTGCTAACCTAGATGCCCGAACAATTTCTGAATAGAATTTCATATGTCAAATATTCATTACAATAAGAAATTCATGTGGTACTAATGCCTACTAAAACATTCAATCAAATATGAGACCTTTATAGGCATAATCATATCTTCCACAATTGAAGTTATCGACTTCATGCAACCGAACAATCAATGGTTTGGTTCAATTTAAACGAGAAACATCACTTTCATAGAATTCATTTTTGTAGTTATCTCTGCAATTGTTATTGGGTTAACATAAAATTGCTATAAGGCTATTAATGCATTGCCAACAAACCCAAAGTCACATAATAATTATGCCCAAAGCTAATTCCACAAAATTCTCTCTATTATCACTATAATTGAATCTGGTGTCTTTTCTAACAGTAGTATTATCATATAAAAAATATTTGAAATATTAATCAAAACCTCTCATACCTTGATTGAGAAGCCTAGCACGTAATGGGAGAACCTGAATAAAGGAAGCCAACTTCTGCCTCTCATTTAATAAATCAGCCACATATCTACAAACAAATAACCCTAAAACAAAAGAGTGCTAATGTCACAATCCAAACTATGTATTAAACTAATTCAATTACTACTAGCCTAAAATCTAATAAATACCAGTTATAGTATTGCTATTCGTAAAATTTAAAAAATAAGACTACAACAAAAAAAGGAAGTAAACAAACTTGCACTACATGATGTCTGAGGATCCTTTTGCAATCACAATGAACTCCTAAACTTAAGAGCTTAAGAATAAAATGCAGAAAAAATTCTAAAAGGTAGCAAATAATTGTAGATGCATGCGGCTAACAAAGCATAATGGATTAATCAAGAACCCAAACTCCAAAATGACTTTGAACCATCAACTAAATCTAGATCCAAAGCAGCTTGATGAAAGAAACATACGTTATCACAAACTTAGTCGCAATGAGCGATGACAAATATGTGCACTCTGAACAGTAAATTAAATAGTGACAGTGACAACATAAACAAGCAAGAATAGCACAAATACAAAATGTCTTTTGAGACTAAATCACTAAACTAAAAATGGGTTTAGTATTAGAAAGGGTAAACATATTAATCTCTGTCAATTTCACAAGACCACTTAAAGTACATTCAACCAGATCTTAATTTTTATACACGGTTAGAAATAGTAAGAGTTCATGCAAATGCATCTACCTCAAGAAAATCACAAAAAATAAAATCTTATGCCCCGGGGAGGGGAGGGGGCGTGATGCAGTAGGAGACATTGGGAGCTACTTCTTTACTGAACGAGTCTACAACTCATCCTGCTTTGGTGGCATTGCTCCTCCTCCAGCCATTTCCCTTCTCTATCTCCAAAACCAAAATCCAAAATAAGCAAGACAAGGAGGCCTAGAAAACATCAGTAAAAAAAAAGAGAATACTTCTACACTAAAGAAATCTAAAGAATTCACAAAATAATAAAAGAAACCTCAAAATTATCAGTATTGAAATTAGATAAGATAGAGATAAAATCAAATGAATTAGATAAAAGAGTTGATGACAAACTTTAGAGGAAGGCACTTTGAGCTTGATGGGAGCCCGACGTTAAATCTGAATGGGGTCTAGTCAACGATCGACTAGGATTCGACGCCGGAGAAGGTGTTTGGAGAGGCAGATCCGAACTAGGGGCTGATAGTAGAGACTCAACGGTGCTTCCAACCCGAGACCTAGGGATGTTAAATGGATGGTTTTGGTTTTAAATGGGTGGGCCATAAATGGGCGGGCATGTTTTGCCCATTTACCCATTTATGGCCCATTTAACATTATTTAAATGGGTGGGTTTTTACCCGCCCATTTAATAAACGGACCGCCCATTTGCCCCTTTAACTATAGTAACTATATATGTATAATACTTTTGGGGTGTTTTTTGTAAACTTTTAGGAGGCTTTTTGTAAACTATTATGGGCTTTTTGCAAACTTTTTAGGAGCTTTTTGCAAACTTGTTGGGGCTTTTGATAAAATACTAACAAAGATAGGAACATAAACAAAGATAAACAAACAAAGGCAGACAAGTTCATGATTGAACCATTTACAAGCCTGGATAAAAGTACAGACCTCACACATTTGCAAAATTAACCTCAGATTTCCAAACCAAAAACCAAAAGATCAATAACAACAAAATTGCGAGTATATTTAAATGAATTAAGATAGAAAACACAAGGTATGCAAGGATCTGTATAAGATCAATAACTTGATATAAACGCCATCATAACTATCAGCAACACGATCACGATTAGTAAGGACAATCTACTTAATTACTTGATAAACTAGAAGAGTAGTAAGTTCGTCTATAAACAAAATAGTAGCACAACCATAGTCTACTTATTTCTCATCTTTCAAATGTTCAGGCATGAATATGAAGCTATCGCAACTGCATAATAATATGAATAAACAAGCATCGACCATCTTTTTACACAAGTGAAGTCAGAGCATTTGCCGCCATCCCTCATTTCTCTTTCTTGGCCTCAGGAAAGAATTGCAACACTAGCATCCTATCAGAAGCAAGGAAACCAATGTTCAATCAATTCATCCACTAGAAGATTACAACGAATGGTTGTAACCAATAGTCAGTGTACTAAATAATCAGTAAAGATGTTTCTGACAGTAGTTGTTCTTAAATATTAGTATACACATGGGCTGTACGCATCATTGCTAACTAAAACTAGGTAGCAAAAGAGTGAGAAGTTCTTCATTTTATATTATTGTGGAAACATAAACTTATGAGAAATAAATACATATTAGAACAACAATCAATATTTTGCCAATAGCGTTAGAAAAGCAAGTTTATGATGTACACTAATTTCATGGAACAAGTAAAATCTTACCTTAATCACTTTCGCCTTCCGATTCAGAAACCTCTAGATTACTGAAATCATGTACTAATAAATTTCTTTCTTCAATGTCTGCCAGAGCTGCATTTAATAAGAAAAAATAATATTAATATTCTGTGATAAAATATGTAGTCCACAACAATAGAAAAAAGCAATAAAGAAAAAAAAGAAGGCAACTCACAAGGAATCCCGTCTAACCAAGAACCAGTGCAAATTTGAGCTTCAGCATTCTCCGGAAGAAGACGATTTCGATACTTGTCAAGCACACGAACCGCAATGCTAAAAGCTGATTCAGAGGCCACCGAAGTAATAGGAATACTCAATATATCTCGAGCCATCATCGACAACTGAGGGCGCTTCTCGCATTCGCCTTTCCAATACTCGAGAACATTCAAATGATCATTTTTCTTCAAACTGACTAATTTTTCATCTAGATACTCTTCTAACTACGACTTGGACCCACTGACTGAATATAGTTGACTCTCAAACTGTTCAAACTCAACCATCTCATCATTAGGAACATCTCTAATATTCTCTTCATCACTGCTCTCTGCAACAGATGTACCTAGAGATGATCGCTCATATTCTTTGTAAAGACTTCTCAGTTTCTCTAAGATAGTCAACACATAATCAGAACTAACTCCCAATTTCTCAAAACAAAACTGTACATACTTCACCTTGTATTGGGGGTCTAAAATGACTACAAATGACAAAATAACACTGTAATATTCCCAATATTTATCAAAATTTATTTTTATATCATTTGCCATGGATTTTATATCTTGATCATCACTTTTCATCTCCTCCATTATGTATTTTTGAATCTTAAACACTCTACCAAAATATAAGTTGGCAGCTGGATATTTACTTCCAGAAAAAAGAGTGGACACTTCATAAAAACGTTTCAAAAACTTTGTAATTTTTTCAACCTTTACCCATTCTTCACTTGATGGCAAAAAAGTGAAATTTGGATCAATCAACTCCAAGTGCTCAAATGCCCGACGAAAGTTCAAAACACTCTCCAACATTAGAAATGTAGAATTCCACCTGTTGGAGACATCCGGCTAAAATTTTTCGCTTTACCTGAACAAGTTTGTGCAATGCACTCTACAAACTTCTTTTTCCTTCCAGGAGGACTCTTCACATACTTGATGCTTTCTCTTATCTTAGACAATGGTTTATCGATAACCTTTAGCCCATCTTGCACAATAATATTTAGAATATGAGCACAACACCGCACATGCAAAAAATCACCATTACTAACAAAATGATCTTCTAAAACTGGATGGTCTTTTAAAATTCTCATGAAAACATCATTATATGCTGCATTGTCCAAAGTAACAGTAAATTTTCTTTTTCAATACCCCAATCCTTCAACAAATGAAATAGCTTCTCTACTAAAATTGCTCCACTATATGAGGGTAGAACATGAGATAGAGCTAATATCTTATTCTGCAACATCCAACAGTCATCAACATAATGTGCGGTGAGAGACATATAGTAGTCGGAGGTGGAAGAGGTCCATAAATCCGTGGTTGGACAAATTCTACTAGGAACTAGCTTTAAAGCCTGTTTAAGATTTTCTTTCTCTTTCTTGTACAACTTGACCAAATCTGTTTTAGCAGTGTTCCGAGAAATATGCTTGACTTCAGAATTTAAAAAATTATGCAACTCACGGTGTCCTTGATGTTCGACAAAAGTGAATGGATAACCATGCAATGCAATTACTCTAGCAAGCATTTCTCTATATTTTTCTTGATTTAGTGGCATATTTTTCCTTGAAGAATCAGTCTCATTTAAGTTCCTCTTCGGGCAAGAATCCATATGCCTCAACATTGTCTTAGTGCCATGACCACCAACATAAATATGATTACACATATTATATTGAACTTTAGTTTTCTCATCATTATCGATAGGTAACTTTGTAAAGTGATCACAAACTTTTGATGTTTGTCTTCTTTTACGTTTAGAAGTACTCTCATCACCACCACCAACATCATGGATGCTAAATTGATCATTTAAAGACATGATAGCTAAAAAAATAATATAATAGCACATCAATTTTAGGTAGCAAACACATACTAAAGAAACTTTTAAATTTAAACGAGCAAAATAAAAGTGACAGAAAACATATGACAAATAACAACCATGAACAAAAATACATTAGGTAAAACATGCGCATTTAATCACGTAATGATGCAACTTATATCTTGTTATAAAGGGCTATATCATCTGGTTGACAGATGGTTGACAGATTGGATCAAGGGGCTATATCATCTGAACTTGGACCATTTGACTATAAAGGGCTTTTCAAGGCAACACACTGAACTTATTAACTATAATAGGTATAGTTATAATCTTACAATGCTGCTTTGTATTTTAGGCTGTTTCTAAAGCCCTGTTCAGAGCACATGTTGAAGGCCAACTTAAGGTGACATTCACATTCATTATATTCAATAATTTCTCTTTGGCCACTGATAGATGTTTGCTGGGTGATCTTGCAGAGTGAGATAATGGCCAACTCAGACTATCATTACACGAATAAGATGATGCATTATGCCTTCAATAGGTTTATGAGAATATTTAACTGCAACTTAGTTTCACGTGCATTATCTAGTTCAATAGTATGATTCTATGAATCAATCAAGCAATCATATTAGCATCAAGACTTAGTGAAGCTGTTCTTATTTAACAAATGTCCTATGGACATTTCACAGGTCATTGTCTCAACAAGAAAGGCTGAATTTTTTCTAAGTGTTGCACCCTTTGTATGAAGTAGTTACAGATGATGGACTAATGCGTCCCAGCTTTAAGGCATGTTCCAGTGGTACATTCTGCTTTTGTGAAATTATATTCTTGTTAGTAAGTCTAGTTGCAGGTATCTTATTTCTTACATAATCTTATAATCCAGGTATTTGCAGAGTGAGATTGTCAGATAATGAGATTGTCTATTCTTTCTACAAATCCTATTGTTATATGAAAGGGAAAATGAAAATAAGGAGGGGGTTATCTCCGAACAAAGAACGTAAAAGGGTAAAGGCCTAGATCCAAAAAAGATTCACTTACTGCACATGAGAATATCAGGCACTCTATTGTAACATCACCGGATCACCTTATTTACAGTTGTGTGATCTCTTTTATGCTCTCTTTGAATATGTAATATAAAGTCTCACATATTATGGCAAAAAATTCAAGGGAAAAAATATGACAGAGTAATAATCTATTTAAAAAAAAGACAAAAGAAATTCAGATAATTTTCACGTCAAAGCTAAGAACATGGCAAATTTTAGAAATTCAGATACATGCTAATAGAAGAGAAGAACTCGAAAAGAGCCAATCTTTTTTGAATAATTTCAAATAGGTTTTATATAACAAAAGAAAATTTGTTTCATAAGAAAATGAAACTAACTTTATGACTTTGAATTCAAGAGAAGGGGATATACCTGATTGCGAGCTGGAGAAGTTGCAATTTTCATCCTCTAGTTCGACAAAGTCTTGGGAAATCTCGATCAACTACAAAAATTAGGGGATTTAGATTAAATTTAAAAATTAGGGTTTTGTCTTAATGTCAATAAAATTCCTTCTTTTCCCCTCTATTTCTCCTTTTCATTCTCCAATTTCTCAATTCAATCTAAAAATCCCTAAGAACAATAAGTAAACTCAATTTGACCTAAAAGCAATAAAATTGAGAAGCTCACATGGCAATGGAGGGAGCGGGAGCGAGAGATTAGGGTTTTGCTGGCTGAAGGCTGAAGACCGAAGGTGAAGGCCGACGGGTTTTGGTTTTGGTTTTGGGAATGCGGGCGGGTAAATGGGTGAGTAGATA